TACTTAAGTAAAGTTAGCATCATCGCAGTGTAAAAATACTCTGGACTCTTTTTAAATCCTCTGTAGCTCATGGTCTGAAGTGCATTTAAGAAGTGTCCAACTCCACTGTTGCAAGTTAAACAGCGCATAATGTGGTTGCAAAGAAAGGCACAAGGGGCAAAGGGGTTGCTGCACAGTTTGCTACAATTTTTATGTCAGAACATCAACGAACACCACTGACCACTCAGTGAGTTTCATGGCTTTGAAAACGAATGTTTAGGGTGGTTTTAGGACAGGTTCACACATGACCATAGGTAGCAGTGTTAAGCCAGGCAGGGGAAAGCCAAATCCTCCGAAAATGAGCAGTCGTCACTATTTTGGTCTTAGCCACTCTATGTCATCCTAAATAACCCAGAAATGGGGCTCAAGGTGCAAAATACCGGACTTCTCCTTTAATTAATCGTAGGTGTGCTATGGGCAGGATATGAATTCAACCAATCAGAATGTCCTCTCCCATTCCCTTTAAAGCCAGGTGCAAATGGTACACTGCTGTTTACATGGCATATTTGGCAATTTGGAGAAGAGAGCTGTTTCCTGCTAAGTGTAATGCAGTCAGAACAGTAATGTCACTGCAGCAAATATCGTGGAACTTAAAAGCAGCAAAACTAAAAACTGTAGTTATTAACTTGACAGATGACACAGAACTTATTTTTTAACCTCTCTAAATCATCAGTGAAGTTACGCTGCTCCTCCTGTGTAAATGTGCAGTGTATTTCGAAATGTGGAGTCTGACAGCAGCTCTGCTCTGATCTCTGCTACGTTCACATTTTACACACTATCACTGCAGCAAATATTGAAACTAAAACTGTAGTTATACACTTGACAGAGGAAACAGAACTAATCTTTTAACTTCCGAAATGATCAATGAAGTTATGCTGCTCCTCATGAGTAAACACGCAGAGTCTCTCTAAATGTGGAGTCTGACGGCAGCTCTGCTCTGATCTCTGCTACGTTCACATTTTACAGAATGTCATTAATATTGTCATCAGTAATTATGTATTATTTCACCCACCTGCAACCCATACACACATCCATGTGTGTGTAACAAGCAGAATGAACGCACGTTGTGAACCCACTTATGGAAGCACCTCTTAGTATGTGCATAATGACACCTTTAACACTTAACACCAGATTTTCAGTTGGACAATGGCGCAAACGCTTTCTGCTGACTTAAAATACGTCAATACGTCAACAATGCGCCTGACCACACCTTATTTTAACATTTGACGACCTACACGTCCATGGTAGCACAGATGGGCGTAAGAACATTTGCAACATTTGCAACATGCTGGACGGGAAAACGCCAGCAACGTTGGGCTGAAACTAACAATGACAGTTGAGCTGCACTGTGTGCCACTTTGCTATTTGAATGATATTACGTACTAAAGTTACATAATTAACAACAAGTTATGGAGGTTAAGTTTAGGAAAAGAAACATGGTGACAACAAACCTTAAAATGACTTTGGTTCCAAACACCATTCTCCTGGGGGAAAGTCCTGTGTTTTGTGACCCATCCACCAACCTGCCTCCTTAATCCATAAAAGTACATCATTATTTATTAGCTGATTATATTTTCTATTTCATTTGCCTCTGAGATGTAGTAGACTAGAAGTATGACTCAGTACCTGAGTAAATGTACTTGTTAGTTTGAACCCACTGTCAGTATAGTTTAATGATCAGGTTCATCTTTGTTGTGGTTAGCCTTCTGTAGCTTAGCACAAAGACTGGAAGCAGAGGGAAACTACTGGCCTAACTTTATCAAAAGCTAAAAAGCAAAGTGATGTTTTGCTTCATTATTTCCTGTTTGTCTGAAAATATTTCAGAGATGTATGGTAACCAGGACGGGTCCATCCCTGCCACCTTTGAGATCCTCTACATGATTGGCTGGAAGCCTCATGAGTCTCAGGTAAGACAGGTGCTCTGCAGAAACATCAACCTGGAACTCTTCTCATTTCTCTGTTTTATCCCTCCTCCTCTCCTCTCCTCTCCTCTCCTCTCCTCTCCTCTCCTCTCCTCTCCTCTCCTCTCCTCTCCTCTCTGGAATCGAGGATGTTCAAACTGAGAAATGAGAAGATGGGCAGGTGTCCAGATACTGCAGATAGGCAGCACAGTGCACCTCACGGTTCATTGTATATCTGGGTCAGTTTTTGGTAGGATGCAGTAACTGCTATGTACTGAGTGTTGTGGTGTTTCTGCACTACATCTCCCAGAGTTCAACTGTGCATCAAACAGACTGGACAGATTATTATGTTCATTTAATTTCCTATTGACAGTTTGAGTTTTTCTGTCTGTTTCTTCTCTTTCTGTATATTCTAAATAACAAGAAACCTTGAAGCCACATAAAAACACTCTAATCGTTTTATTGTTGTTGTTTTTTTTTTTGTCTCTGCCAGGCCAAACCAGCGAAGCGAGGCTCAGCCACCGTGTCTTTTGGGGATTTGTCAAAGATCAGCCAGCCGACCAACACAAACAAGCCATAGGAACATCAGCTGACCTTCTGCAGATTGTAAATAATATATTTTATTTAACAGCTTCGTTAAAAGTAAGAAATGTTGTAATATTGTTGTCGGAAATAAAGTTGAGCAATGAAAACAGCACTGTAATCATATTTCTTCTCAGGAAAGTCATTTTCAGGAACTTAAAACCACTGAAATAACGACTTATATGTAAAAGTAAGTTGACTCACACACACACATGGCAGATGAAACTCATGTTGGATGGATGGTAGTGGACTCAAAAACAAACACAACGATGCAGACTGTTATTTTTGCTCAGAGACAATTGGACTCTGGGCACAGACGTACAGAAAGCCCGACCACCTCTCCTACACAGGAGCAAGACACACAGACTTAATCAACGTTTAGTGTCTTTTTGTAGTTGTTTGTCTCTTTATTGTCATATTGTCAAATCTCTTTATGAGCCATTTTGTGTCTCTTTCTAGCTGTTTACATCTCTTTGTGGCCATTTTGTGTCTTTGTAGCTGTTTATGTTACTTTGTAGCCATTTTGTGTATCTTTGTGGTTGTTTTGAGTCTTTTTGTAGTTTTTTTTACAGCTCTTTGTAGCCATTTTGTGCTCCTTCGTAATTGTTTCAGTCTCTCTTTAGTCATTTTGTGTCTCTTTGTAGTCATTCTGGGTCTCCTCCGGATCAGTATGTGTATCTATGTTCTCAGTGTGGTATTAGCACTTTTAGTATCTGGAAACTTCTTCCAGCACTATTTATAGGGTAATAGTATCATCTAATGGCTTAAAGTCACAATTTCAGGTAAAATGAGTAGAAACAATGGTGCAGTGTTGCCTTACTCAGATAGGACCTGAATATGATCACATATTTCAGCAGCAGGTTTCTCTTCAGTGTGGGTTGCAGAGAAGAACCTGCAGGAAGGGTGTATTATCTATTTTTACATGCAGGTGACTGACAAAAAGGCCCACTGAGTGCAGCTGGGTGTTTATTTGATAAATAAGGTCTTAATATATTCTAATAACAGGATATTTGGCTGTGTTTAAGGGATGATTATCCTCTTCAAGATCTTAATCAGTTAATTTTCCCAAACTTTTTCTCACATGTAGTGATCTGCTGGCCATGATATGGAAAACAGCCAGTAACATGAGTTTCATTAACATCCCCGTTAGTCATAACTTCCTCTTCAATAAAAACAAGACTGTAATTCAGTCATATGTCACTTAACAAGGTCCACAGGCTGCAGAGATGTTGCTTTATCTCTACTTCCTCCTCGCTGGATGCCTCTGTCACAGCTCTACTGGTAAGTAAATCTAGTATGTCATCTTTTCAATAAACATCATGTTTATAAACCTCAGGGTTTGGAAACATCTTCCAGCACTATTTATAGGGTAATAGTATCATCTAATGGCTTAAAGTCACAATTTCAGGTAAAATGAGTAGAAACAATGGTGCAGTGTTGCCTTACTCAGATAGGACCTGAATATGATCACATATTTCAGCAGCAGGTTTCTCTTCAGTGTGGGTTGCAGAGAAGAACCTGCAGGAAGGGTGTGTTATCTATTTTTACATGCAGGTGACTGACAAAAAGGCCCACTGAGTGCAGCTGGGTGTTTATTTGATAAATAAGGTCTTAATATATTCTAATAACAGGATATTTGGCTGTGTTTAAGGGATGATTATCCTCTTCAAGATCTTAATCAGTTAATTTTCCCAAACTTTTTCTCACATGTAGTGATCTGCTGGCCATGATATGGAAAACAGCCAGTAACATGAGTTTCATTAACATCCCCGTTAGTCATAACTTCCTCTTCAATAAAAACAAGACTGTAATTCAGTCATATGTCACTTAACAAGGTCCACAGGCTGCAGAGATGTTGCTTTATCTCTACTTCCTCCTCGCTGGATGCCTCTGTCACAGCTCTACTGGTAAGTAAATCTAGTATGTCATCTTTTCAATAAACATCATGTTTATAAACCTCAGGGTTTGGAAACATCTTCCAGCACTATTTATAGGGTAATAGTATCATCTAATGGCTTAAAGTCACAATTTCAGGTAAAATGAGTAGAAACAATGGTGCAGTGTTGCCTTACTCAGATAGGACCTGAATATGATCACATATTTCAGCAGCAGGTTTCTCTTCAGTGTGGGTTGCAGAGAAGAACCTGCAGGAAGGGTGTGTTATCTATTTTTACATGCAGGTGACTGACAAAAAGGCCCACTGAGTGCAGCTGGGTGTTTATTTGATAAATAAGGTCTTAATATATTCTAATAACAGGATATTTGGCTGTGTTTAAGGGATGATTATCCTCTTCAAGATCTTAATCAGTTAATTTTCCCAAACTTTTTCTCACATGTAGTGATCTGCTGGCCATGATATGGAAAACAGCCAGTAACATGAGTTTCATTAACATCCCCGTTAGTCATAACTTCCTCTTCAATAAAAACAAGACTGTAATTCAGTCATATGTCACTTAACAAGGTCCACAGGCTGCAGAGATGTTGCTTTATCTCTACTTCCTCCTCGCTGGATGCCTCTGTCACAGCTCTACTGGTAAGTAAATCTAGTATGTCATCTTTTCAATAAACATCATGTTTATAAACCTCAGGTTTTGGCTTTGGTCTAAATTAATTTTGCTGTCAACACTGGAACAATAATTCAATCAGTGATCACAAAACAGTAATAAAAGTAAACATAAAAGGAAAAAGGTAAAGGCATCGTAACAAGCAGAGTCTATGGAGGACAAATGGGATTTTGTTCTACGACCACAAGCCAGCTCTGTACAGTGTTATATGAGCTGAAAAAACAATGAAGTGAAACACTCATTTTGAGGTGCACCATAGTGTGAGAAGTATAGGATTCTGAATTTAAAGAGGACATTAGATAAATGGTTCTCATAGTATAATCATGCATTGGATAAAACAAAGTTTGGAATCAGCTGTTGCGTTCATGTTTTTCTCCTTCAAATCTCCTTCTAATGTCTATTTTAACAGAGATTTTTAATTTAATTGTGTTATTTACATTTTAAATAGTTTTGGCCCCAAAAGAAAGAAATTCAATAATTTAAACTTCCATGTGCAGTGTTTCATGACAGTGGAGAATACTTTGTACATTTGGATTTGAATTTGTTTTTTAGTCCAGTCCATTATTGACCCACAACGGTGCAGCTGGGCTCTAATATTTATTTATTTAATTAATTTATCCACTTCCTCTTTAGACTCTCTCTGACATCGCAGAATGCTGTAACTATCTTACAATATCAGAAGTCCGTTCACATGTGCTTTTCTCATGACTATACAATATTGAGAGCAATATACTGATGCACTGAGTGGTGAAAAAAACAGAAATAAGTAAATGATTAAGTAAATAAATGAATGCATAAATACATACAGGAATAATTAATACAGAAATATACAACTGTAGTTATATAACAATGTAGAAATAAATTTCAGATATTTATTTCTGTCCTTTTTTACTATATAATAAGGTTTGTGCATTTATATATTTATTTTCATATTAATTAATATGTATTTATTGATGCATTTATTTATATCTATTTTTTCTTTTATTTATTAATACATTTATTAATTTCCACATTTATTTATCTATTTATACTTTTATTTATGTTTTCTTTATTTATGCATTTATTGATGCATTTATTTATTTTTTATACATCTGTATTTATTCATTTGTACCTGTATTTGTTTATTTTTATTGCTTTACTTATTTATTTATTCCTGAATGTGTTTATAGATTTATAGATTTATTTATTGATACTTAGTCTGTCTTGTCCTCCATATAAAACCACTATGAGAAAATAAATGACTGAGTTGTGCTGGCTGTTTGGGTCCTGCTGAAAGAACTATGAGGGACATGAAGACGATTAACAGAAAAGTTGACCAAAAAACTGTTTCACTCATTGCTGCCTCTTTACTTTACAGACATTACCGTAATTACTGTGCCGCAGCACACGGTGGCTACGTTGCCCTGTCGTCATGTTAAGGGACATGTGACATGGAGCCGCTACATCAGCGGCGAAAAGGTGAATCTCGTCACTGTTGAAAATGGCATCAGGAAAGTAACTGACCAACGCTACAGTTCCCTGGACAATAACTCCCTGGTAATAACAAACGTCACCTTCTCTGATACTACAACATACTTGTGTAATAGAACACAAGTATATCTGAAAGTGACAACAGATCCCAACATGGTCGTCCCCAGTGCTGGAGAGGCTCCAGTCACACAGAGAAACGATGGACTGGGTTTCGGCCTTGGACCAGACCAGAAGATACTCACTGCAGACACAGAGAACCAACAACCCTCAGACTTTTGGAAAGTCCCTGTTGGTGTAGTCCTGGGTGCTGTGTTGGTGCTTTTGGTCATCTTTACCCTAAAACTCTGCTCCAAAAACAGAACAGAGAGAAACGCTGACGTGGACAAAACTGTAACTGACGTGATTTACGAGGAGATTGAAGCTGGACCGGAGCACCCAGGGAGGGAGTCTTATTTTGAAAGTCCATACTACTGGACAAGTGTCAGTGAAACGCCAAGCACCTCCACACCATCCAATAATCATCTGTACAGCACCGTCAACAAGCTAACAGCTAAAGGACGCATCAGTGAGGAGTGTGTGTATTCCCTCGCCCAACATCCAGCACAGGCAGGAAATGTTGGTGAGCTGTCAGCATCAAGCTGCAACCTGCGGGGCTGAAAAATAAAGCCGATGTGCCAAGTGCCAAAAACTGCAGTTCCTCTAATGGCCACATGAGGCTGGCGTCAAGAGCGAGTCAATTCTCATAGACACCAACGTTAAAATGTCAAACTTTACATGTAAAAAACAATGATGCACCATGCTAACCAAGCTAGCAACTAGCATTACGGTTACCTCTACCCTCTCGTCCAAATATGGTCACTTCCTGCTCAAGAAATCCAAGATGGAGATGGCCAACATGTCAGAGACCTCAAAGCGAGAGTCCACAAACCAATTAGTGATGTCACAGTCACAGTGGCTACGCCCATTAGTTTACTGTGGTCAGTGTCAGTGCTGACCAGAGGTGAGACCAGGTCATTGTTTTGCAAGTCACAAATATGTCAACTCCCAAGTCAAGACTGACACGTCCCAATTCCTGAACTTTGAGTTTTGAGTCCCAGACAAGTTAAAATGTGCTCTACACCAAATTTAATGCCAATATTATTAAATTTACAAAAATCATTGATGCTTTTTTAAAGTTTGCATTTAGCTGTTAAGCTAACATTAGCCAAGCATTAGCTCCCTATGTTAATATTAGCCTCAACTCACTGTTCTCTGTGCATCTTTAAATGTCAAACAAAGTTGGAAGTTGTTGCATCTTCTCCTGTAATTGTTTTTTGTGTTTAATATGTGAATAAAATTATCTTTTATAATTTTTTCAAACCAGTGCTCAATAATTAACGTTAGATCTTCACGGTTCTATTCTGCAACTTGATTGGATGCTGTCACCAGGCACGGTGCCAGGATTTTTTCTCTCCCGGGGCTAAGGGAGAGCTTGACCGATACGTGGGGGTGCTAAGAAAATAATTGATTTTCATGACTTCAGTTACTTTATAAGGAGGTTCTTGCTTTTTCAGTAAAAGCAGCTGTGATACACAGCACAAGCATGTTCGATATAAAAATGGTTTTAACTGAATTTGGCCAAAGAATATTCAACAAAATAGTTAAGCCTAATACAAGTGACCACAGGGCAATGGCAAAAATGTTTCACGTAGCAGTGATGGACTGCTCTGGAGCTCCTTCAGGTTCTGGCTCACGAGTTCCTCTCTCAGATTCATTTTTCGAAACTCCCTCTTCTTCTTTGTCCCACTGGGAGACTGGGTCTTGGTCTTCATTTTCTACCTGCACTCTTTTTTTCTTGATCACTAAACAATCCATTGCAATGGACTGTAGGCTAGCTAGCCTTAGCCTAATGCGCGAGTGTAAACAAAAGACTCGCGCATTAGGCTGACATTTTGGGTCAGAGATACAGTACAATTTTTGAAGCTAGAGAAGATAAGGTCAGGACAGTTTTAATAGTGTATGGTAACCTTTTATTACATATCTGCTAGACCAGCTGGAAGGTTGAAGTTGGTTCTCAACATCTGCTGCAGAACCTTAAATCGCAGGCACGCACTTTGTCTATTACTGTTGTTCCTTTTGTTTTTTAAATGGGGGCACATTATTATTTCACACTGGATTTTATGCCCTCTTGGCCAGGTCACTCCTGAAAAAGAGATTTTTAATCTCAATGAGGCTTTTACCTGGTTAAATAAAGGATATATTTTATGTGACTGTTTGCTCCCAGGGGGTGAAAAAACTGTCTTTCACCCTGTATTTTTGTATACATGTTTTCTTCAATGTGGAAACTAATTAATAAAGTGGAAAAAAAAGTCACAGGTCATTGGTATTTAAGTCCAAGTCACGTCTAAAGTTATCAAATTTATGACTCGAAGCTGACTCGAGTCATGTGCAGTGGTGTAGCCATTCCTTCAGAAGTGAGGGGTACACATTATTCAGGAGTAAGATATTTTTTTGAATAAACTGAAATATTCTCTCTCACTCAGCCGAGTTATCAGATAAATGTGGTGAAGTTAAGGTACAGTATTGCTCTCTAAGGTGTATTATTAGAGAGCAGATATAAAGTAGCAGAAAACTGAAATACTCCAGTAAAGTACAAGTACCTTAAACCTGTACTTATGTGCAATACCTGAGCAAATGTACTTAGTTACTTTCCACCACTGCATTTCGTTGTTCAACCCTGTGTTGTACAGTGACAGTAATTGAACATTTTAACTTTGTAATGTTCCTTTTGGTAAATACAAAAACAGCTACTAAACTGTAATGCACATTATGTCTGTCTGATCAATGAACAGAATGTTTGGAGTCATATTGATCAGGGTTCACAGCAGTTTGTGTCTCACTTCAAATGTTTACTTGTCAAAATCTGAGATGTAATTATTGCAAAACATATTAACATACTGCAGAAGTTCCTGAGACATATTACCCTGTCTCCGAGATTGTGTATGATAATAGGTTCCTGTGCCGGGTGCTGATTACCTTGTTGATGTAAAGAGAGCTCACCCTCACCTCCATGTTCTCCTGCAGCTCCAGCTGACAGTGCAGCAGAGGCCTCTGCTCCTCCTCTGACTGGGAGAACAGAGATAAAGAGACTCGTCTTAAATGGTTTAAATCTCTGAACAATACATCAGGCAATATATGGTAGAAAACAGGAACACAATTGTTTCTTTTAACCAACCACAACATCTAAACAGTCAACCCAAACCAGACTTTACCTACATGATAATTAATCCGCTGATTTAAAAACCTCAATTTTGCTGTCACACAAACTATCTTAAACTAATTACATATTAAAATTTCAGTTTGTATTATCATAATGTTTGAATTCCTCCAATTTAGTACTATTCTGTTCTATTCTGGTATGTCATGTTTTATTTTATTATAACGTTCATTTCTTTTATTTGTACATGTATCTACTCATTTCCATAATTATTAATTTTGTGTTATACATTTATTCATATATTTGTTCTTCAATGCTCTGCAATACCACATTTTAAAAAATATTTTATCTTTACATATTGATAATT